TTATAACTATACAGAAAATAACAATAATCAAACAAAAGAACAGGAATAAGTGAATAATTCAGGCAAATATGAACTAAAATGCACTCACGTGTATAAAATATATGTCTTAATAAAGTAAGTTAAATGTGTATTATAATTAATAATGTAAGGTACAAATCATTTTTGAGGTCTGTGGATTTTGATTTTACTGAAGAAAAAAAATGTTTGCTCCGACGCACTTTTTCAAAGATCCATTCAAAATGTGGATACTCCTGTTTTAGTCCTGGTTTAGTCCTAGAATCACTGCTGGTAAAGTTGAGGAGGTTCATGTTGGTGCAGAGGAGCTCACAGAGGGAAGGTCCTGGGAACACTAACATGCTTTGTCTGTATCAAAAAGTCTTCACACTTTATGCTCTAAAAGGATCTTTTTAAATGTTATTTTTGTTTGTTTTAAGCTCTGAGACAGACTCCAGACCTGAGCCAGCCCCCAGAGGAATGTCAGTCAAGAGCGACTCCTCCATGGACATGCCCATTTTATTCAATAAAGAGCCGCCCTCGACCAATCAGAGGTGAGAACAAACCACAGAGCAACAATAAGGCAAATAATTATAACTATACAGAAAATAATAAGAGTGATAATAAAGATCAGGTCTCTTATCTGGCAAGTCAATAAAAGAACAGGAGCAAGTGAATAAATCAGGCAAATATGAACTAAAATGCACCTAAATGTTTAAAATGTATGTCTTAATAAAGCAATGAAATGTATATTGTAATTAATAATATAAATAACGTAAGTTAATGCAAATGTGAAAAAAAAAAAAAAGTCTAAATCATGTTTGTGACTAAATCATTGTGAATGTTTGTGTTTCATATGAACTTTGCACAAGAAGTGCAAAGTTCATATGAAACACAAACATTTTAATCATCAAAGCAGTAAAAATGTCAAATGTGTCACATAAATGAGTTTCCTTCCTCTGGACAAACACATTAAACGATACGATATATATCGATATTTTGATATTTTTGCACACCCCTAGTGGGGGCAGAGGAATCCACCACACTCATGGACAAATCATTTTTGAGGTCTGGGGATTTACATTTTACTGAAGAAGAAAAAAAGTTTCATTCCGACGCACTGTAAGTACGTACATATGTACATATGTACATTGTACATATGTACATATGTACATATGTACATATGTACATATGTACATATGTACAATGTACATATGTACAATGTACATATGTACATATGTACATTGTACATATGTACATATGTACGTTCCCATGTTTCAAAGATCCCTCTGTGGCCAGACGACCTGTCAAAGCCTGATCCTGTCAGATGTTAAAAGTTCAGCAGGTCCAGGTCTGGTTCGGACTGGGATGGAGACACTGGGAACACCAGGAGCCACAGGGGCACCAGTGGAAAAAACTGACATTGTGTCTGAGTGTGCAGAAAAACACCATTTAAAACTTATCCATTATTAATATTATTATTATTAAAATACTCCTGTTTAAGATCTGGTTTGGTCCTTGTTTAGACCTGGTTCAGTCCTGGTTTAGTCCTGGTTTAGTCCTGGTTTAGTCCTGGTTTAGTCCTAGAATCACTGTTGGTAAAGTTGAGTGGCTCATTGATCATAAAGTCTCCATAACTACAACAGTTTTATCAGGAGGTTCATGTTGGTGCAGAGGAGCTCACAGAGGGAAGGTCCTGGGAACACTAACATGCTTTGTCTGTATCAAAAAGTCTTCACACTTTATGCTCTAAAAGGATCTTTTTAAATATTATTTTTGTTTTAAGCTCTGAGACAGACTCCAGACCTGAGCCAGCCCCCAGAGGAATGTCAGTCAAGAGCGACTCCTCCATGGACATGCCCATTTTATTCAATAAAGAGCCGCCCTCGACCAATCAGAGGTGAGAACAAACCACAGAGCAACAATAAGGCAAATAATTATAACTATACAGAAAATAACAACAATCAAACAAAAGAACAGGAATAAGTGAATAATTCAGGCAAATATGAACTAAAATGCACCCATATGTTTAAAATATATGTCTTTAAAAAGTAATTAAATGTATATTATATTTAATAATGTAAAAAATGTAAGTTAATGAGAATGTGAACTGTAAATGAAATGAAATAAAAATACTAACACTAGAGTGGGGGCAGAGGTGTCCACCACACTCGGGGACAAATCATTTTTGAGGTCTGGAGATTTAGATTTTACTGAAGAAGAAAAACTTTTAAATGTTATTTTTGTTTGTTTTAAGCTCTGAGACAGAATCCAGACCTGAGCCAGCCCCCAGAGGAATGTCAGTCAAGAGCGACTCCTCCATGAAACAAGGCATTTTATTCAAAAGAGAAACACTCTCGGCCAATCAGAGGTGAGAACAGACCACAGACATTATTATTTTAACCAATTAAATTATGTATTTGTGACTGCAAAAGCCTCAGCTTAAACCTCATAACTGACTTTTTAGAGAGAGAGTGCTCTTTGTCCATGTCCATCTTCTGTTAAAACTGAAGTCTGAATCTCATGGACATGAAAAACATTAATGGAAATCTGTAACCTGCTTATTTTCAGTTAAATTAAGTCCCTTTTTTCATTTTTAGTGAGATATGCTTCAGTTTTGACATGGGACTTATCAAGACCCAACATCTGCTCAGTCTGCTTCTCTCAGACCATCCACAGAGACACCAGCCTCACCTGTTCTTATATTTACCCCAAATAATTAAGGTGAAATCTGACTATCCTGTGCAGAGCTTGTCCCCACTTACAATGAGAGTTTATCAGACGGCTGAAGCCAAAACTACAGAGCCTCAGCTTCACACAGAGTCCAGTCATGTGTTTCTGCTCCACAGGGTTCAGAAACAGATTCAGCTTGAATTGAGGGTTATTTTAGTTTAATGTTTTTGGACAAATAGGTGGAATGATAAGGGGTTAAAATCAAACATGTTTTTTGTCTAGGGACAAACCTCGCACCTCTGTGGCAGCTAGAAATTCTGCGATGGAAACCATTCCAGAAGGAGATTCTACTTATAAGAGGTACAAAAACTGTAACATTAATTTAATTGGAAACCTTGTTTAATGTAAGAGATTCCAGAGAGAAATAAAACTGTCCCTTTCTTCTCTGCAGTTCGGTAGAGACTCGTCCAGAGCTTCAGCCAAATGGCCCTGACAGTGGATCTGTTTTTAAGGTGAGAGTTTAAATCTGTGAAACAAGAGACTCATTCATACAGACACAGAAACAGAAACAGACAGTAAGGGGAGTTTGAGTTTGTGTGGAGATTACTTTTAAGTGTCGATGGGGCCTCACAGAGCAGCACGGCCCAGATCCAGACCCACAGTGTGAGCACAGGGCTGAGTGCTGTATCGGGTAAAACATTTCACTTGAAACAGCTTTCCTCACCTGTTAATATTTTACAAGACTCCTTATTGATTTACCTTCCTTTGTGGTGCCGCACCCAAGTGTGTGATGGTGTTTAAAGGTTTCCTGGATGTGTTGCCTTCGTCAGTTCAGGCGGTCTGTGTGAGAGTGAACATAGAAAAGAGAAGCTGAGCGAGCTGTTCGTTTAAGCAAACTGCTCTTTTAACATGACTGTATCTTCCTTACCCGGTTCTGCACACGGACCAGCGCTGTCACGTGGGCCACTATGAGTTCATCTGCTGTGGTTCCATGATGAGCCCCTGTGGAGGTGTCTGCCACGTGCAAGTGCTTAAAGGCATCTTCATGCGAGTCCGTACAAATGACTTCCACAGCAGCACTGTCGATGGTCATTGGCGTTGGCGTCATTGGTGTTGGGTGTGGCCTCTCTGGAAGTCGACAACAATCTCCTTAATCTTGCCGACGTTCAGCTGGAGGTTGTTGTCTCTGCACCGCGCGGTCAGAAGGTCCACCTCTTTCCTGTCGTGAGTCTCGTCGCCCTCGGTGATGAGTTGTGTCGTCCGCGAACTTCACAAGATGTTCAGTGCTGTAGACGGACGGTCGGTACTGTAGACCAGGGGTCTTAGACTCGCGGCCCGGGGGCCAACTGCGGCCCTCGGAAGGATTTTTTGCAGCCCTCCACTTAATTCCAAAGAATAATGTCAGTGCGGCCCCCCCCACCGCGGGCCGCACTGACAGATGAAGCTGCAATCAGTGCCCATGCAGATTCACAACAACAGATTATTAACGCAGCTGACATCCCAAAACTCAATTTCTAGCAGCTGTGAATAAATGAGTCGAAGTGGATCTGTTAATACGAGTACACGGTTGTAGGCGGTCGGTGCTGTAGGCCGGTCGGTGCTGTAGGCGGTCGGTGCTGTAGGCGGTCGGTGCTGTAGTTGGGCGGTCGGTGCTGTAGGGCGGTTCGGTGCTGTAGGCGGTCGGTCGGTGCTGTAGTTGGTTGGTCGGTGCTGTAGGCGGTCGGTCGGTGCTGTAGTTGGTCGGTCGGTGCTGTAGGCGGTCGGTCGGTGCTGTAGGCGGTCGGTCGGTGCTGTAGGTCGGTCGGTCGGTCGGTGCTGTAGTTGGGCGGTCGGTGCTGTAGGCGGTTGGTGCTGTAGGCGGTCGGTCGGTGCTGTAGTTGGTCGGTCGGTGCTGTAGGCGGTCGGTCGGTGCTGTAGTTGGGCGGTCGGTGCTGTAGGCGGTCGGTGCTGTAGGCGGTCGGTCGGTGCTGTAGTTGGTTGGTCGGTGCTGTAGGCGGTCGGTCGGTGCTGTAGTTGGTCGGTCGGTGCTGTAGTTGGTCGGTCGGTGCTGTAGTTGGTCGGTCGGTGCTGTAGTTGGTCGGTCGGTGCTGTAGTTGGTCGGTCGGTGCTGTAGTTGGTCGGTCGGTGCTGTAGTCGGTCGGTCGGTGCTGCAGTTGGTCGGTCGGTGCTGTAGTCGGTCGGTCGGTGCTGTAGGCGTCAGACCCCCTGAGCTCAGAATGATCAGTGTTTTCTGCAGAAACTTTGGGCCAATACCAAAGCTGTTACTGTGCAATAACATAATTTTATTTAATAAATTAATAATATGTGCAACGACAGAACAAACACCTTCGCACAAAATCGCCTGATATTTCTGCCTGCCTTTTCCCAACCATTACAGTAACTAACAACGTAAACGGCCTCGCTAGACGCTGCACTGACAGACAACAGATGACTGGTGAAATTTACTGATTCCAACTTTTTTGTGAAACTGTATCAATAAACATATACAGAAATGACTATTAATATCAATATATATTCACAAATTATAAATAGCACCAACAGTTCAAGTTACAGTCAGTAAATCTAAATAGTTAGCATAACGACTAGCATCGCGAAATTAGCATATGAATAGCGGGCTAATTTACACAACAATGACACGCCAAAAATGTGCTGACTCATAAATTTCAATCATAAAAGTCAATATAACAGGTGTATAATTATGTTTTGCCATGTAATACTTACAGACAATGGTTAAATAAACACCAAAAGAAACACCAGAACAGAAGAGCGGCCATTCTGTTGACGTGAGGCCTGAACAACAACTTCTGTCTAACATTTTTCTTCTACTGTTATAACTAAAAGAGTAAATTAAAATGGCAACTAGAAGGAGTCATTTAGGAAGCAAAAAACACAAGACTATTCTTGTATTCTTTTTGAATGAGGTAGATTTGTTCCTTTGATTACATGCTTTACAATTTGCCCCATAGTTCGTTCATGAATGTTTCTTTTTGTTTTTGTTTTTCTTCACAACTGTGATTTTTTATTTTTTATTTTTTTGTTGCTATGTTTGGATGTGATCTTTGGGTGGTGCCTTTTTGTTTGTATCTGGGATCTGAAGTACTAATAAAAAATAAAAAACTGTCAAATACAGTAAACATTACAAACATGTACAGCCGATCTTAGTTTAAAAGAATAAAGGCTTTGCACCGTCACGTCTCCATGTCAACGGTACCTACGCCGCCATGACACCGGACACACTATGTCACTGACTTCAGCAGCGTCGGAGAAACATGGGCAGGTTTTGTTGTGTATTTGGTTGTTCTAGACGCTCTGAAAGGGATAAAACAAATTGTTTTTTCACTGTTCCTCTGAAAATGACTCATCAGGAGATCAAACAAGGGAATTATCGAAAAAAGACACGGATTATGGCTAGAGAACATAAACCGCGAAGAGATTTCCTATAGTCCCATTAAGACACCCGAAGTTTCATCAAAGTATTTAAATTGTTTCATAGCTTATTTAATGAGAGAAGCACATTCGCATTGCATCTATGGAGTTCGCAAACAAATTTCTCAAGCCGTTTTTCGCTGTTAGGATCCAACAACCACACAATTACGATGTCCGAATCCCAAAACTAAAATATGACAATATCAGAACCAGAAACAAAAGTGATATGGTTCAAAAGACTTGAAAAGATCGACTTTGTCAATAGACACGTCCCACTGGGAAAACAAACATGGAGGTTTGATGATCACTTTTTTAGAGGATACTTCCCCGTATGGATTGCGCGATGACTGGAAGCCCGAGATTCTTGATGCGTGTATTGTTGTCAAGGCAGCCGCCCAAACTATAAAGCGCTGCGGGAAACACTGGTGATGGTGCTTGAGGTGTCGTTGCACGTTCTGCTTGTGTCTGTGGCTGAGGAAATCTAGCAGCAGTTGCAGAGGGACGATTTCAGACTCCGCTTGTTGAGTTTGCAGATGAGTTGTTGTGGTGTTATTTTGTTGAATCAATCATCATTAATATAATATAATTAATATTTAGACCAAAGATTAAATTGAAAAGTCAAATAAGTTTTGTTTTTTTGTTCTATGAATAAAAACAAAAAATGGAAACTCAGTCCCTCAATACTTCTTTTTGTTATGAATCAGTTGAATGATGGAACACAGAGGCACACTCAGGAAAAACTCTACCAAAGCTGTACTTGAACTCAATCTGATTTTTACTCTTATTTTACAGAAACTGGAGGAGCGCATTTTAAGTTTTGTGCAAGTTGAGCTGAGTAAGTTACAGGAAGTTCTAACGGCAGAGGAACCTTTGGCACTGGAGGAGGACGACGAGGCAGGAATTAAAGAGGCCTTTCTGAAGATCGCCCTGAACTTCCTGAAGAGTTTGAAGCAGCACAAAATGGCCGAGCGTCTGCACAACAGTGAGAAGCTTCAGTCTGAGGTCTCGTTATGCTTCTGCCAGTGTGTGGTTTCTTATTTTCATGTCTGTTCCAGGACAATGTGCTTCCAAATGTCACCGTGAACTGAAGTGTGATCTGCAGCGGAGGTTCAGCCGTGTGTTTGAGGGCGTGGCTAAAGCAGGAGACTCCGCCCCCCTGAACCAGATCTACACAGAGCTCTACATCACAGAGGGCGGAGCCTCAGAGGTCAACCAGGAACATGAGGTCAGACTCATGGAGACGGCGTCCAGGAGACCGTCCACTCTAGAGACCGTCACATATGAAAACATCTTTAAATCACAATCACCACAGCCAATCAGATTTGTGCTGACGAAGGGCATGAGCGGCGTGGGGAAAACAGTGCTGACTCAGAAGCTCAGTCTGGACTGGGCTGAAGGCCGGGCCCACCAGGACCTGCAGCTTGTGTTCCCGTTCACTTTCAGAGAGCTCAATGTGCTCAGAGGCACACGGTTTAGTCTGGTGGGTCTGCTGCATCACTTCTTCAGTCCATCCAAAGTTCTCCGCAGCCTCCAACGGCTCCAGGTGCTCTTCATCTTTGACGGTCTGGACGAGTGCAGACTTCCTCTGAACTTCAGTCAAACCCGGGTCCTGAGCGACCCCACAGAGTCCGCCTCAGTGCACGTGGCTGCTGGTGAACCTCATCAGGGGGAACCTGCTTCCCTCTGCTCGCGTCTGGATAACCACACGACCCGCCGCGGCCAATCAGATCCCTGCTGAGTGCGTCTCCATGGTGACAGAGGTGCGCGGGTTCACCGACCTGCAGAAGGAGCAGTACTTCAGGAAGAGGTTCAGAGACGAAGCCGACACAATCATCTCCCACATCAAGAGCATCCGCAGCCTTTACATCATGTGCCACATGCCGATCTTCTGCTGGATCCTCTCCACAGTTCTACAGAAGCTTCTGGAACAAACAGAGAGATCAGAGCTGCCCTGGACTCTCACACAGATGTACGTCCACTTCCTGGTGGTGCAGGCCAAAGTCCAGAACATCAAGTATCAACAGGGATCAGGGGTGGACCTTCACTGGACTCCAGAGACCAGGGAGATGGTTCGGTCTCTTGGAAAAGTGGCCTTTGAGCAGCTGCAGAAAGGAAACCTGATCTTCTACGAGAGTGACCTGAGCGAGTGTGGGCTGGACGCTGCAGCGGCCTCAGTGTACTCCGGAGTGTTCACACAGGTCTTTAGAGAGGAGCCAGGTCTGTACCATGACAAGGTCTACAGCTTCATCCATCTGAGTGTGCAGGAGTTTCTGGCTGCTCTTCACGTGCATCAGACCTTCTTCAGCTCTGGAGTGAACCTGCTACAGAAGAGACGGCTTTCTCTGTATCTAGGCATAGGAAGAACAAATACTGAAGCAGCCTTCTACCGCTCTGCTGTGGACCAGGCCTTACAGAGTCCAGATGGACACCTGGACCTGTTCCTGCGCTTCCTCCTGGGGCTGTCTCTGGAGGAGAACCAGAAGCTGCTGCGAGGTCTGACGACTCACAAAACAAGTTCACAAAACAACCAGATGACTATTGACTACATCAACCAGAAGCTGGATGAAGGCTTTTCTCCAGACAGGAGCCTAAACCTGCTCTACTGTCTGAATGAACTCAACGACCACAGTCTAGTGCAGCAGATACAGGAGGCCATGAGAACAGGACTTCTCTGTAGTAAAAGTATGTCCCCTGCTGATTGGTCGGCCCTGTCCTTCCTCCTACTGTCTTCAGACTCAGATCTGGAAGTGTTTGACTTGAGGAAATATTGTGCCTCAGAGGACGCTCTCCTGGGTCTGCTGCCGGTGGTCAGAGCCTCCACCAAAGCCCTGTGAGTCCAGACTGTATTTAAACTCTTGTGTGGAGGTTCTAGTCTCTAATGTTCCTCTCTCTCCTCAGTCTTTGTGGCTGTGGCCTGTCGCCTCGCAGCTGTGGTCCTCTGGCCTCAGTCCTCAGCTCCTCCAGCCTCACACATCTGGATCTCAGTGACAACGACCTCCAGGACTCAGGAGTGAAGCTGCTGTGTTCCAGACTGGAGCGTGCCCCCTGCAGACTGGAGACTCTCAGGTGACAATAACCCCTCCCTCTTGAGTCTGGAGGTGTTACACACTGTGTCTTATTCCTGTTCCTGTGTCCTCAGTTTGTCTGGATGCCTGATCACAGAGGAGGGCTGTGCACATCTGGCCTCGGTTCTGAACTCAAACCCCTCAATTTTGAGAGAGATGGATTTGAGGTACAACCATCCAGGAGAGAGAGGGGCACAGCTCCTGCAGGCTCTGACCGAGGAGCCCCGCTGCAGCCTACGCACAGTCAGGTATGAACCAAATGGAAACAAGTGCTCTGATCTTCTCAGACGGCTGCCTCCATAGCTCTGCTCTGGAGAACAGTTCTGATTCTGCCTTTCTTTCTTCAGACTGGACCCCCGTGGACCACAGTGGTTAAAACCAGGTGTGAAGAAGTGTAAGTACCAAGAGGACTACAATATATCCCTGTTTTATATAATGAGTACTACAGTACTTCAGTACTACAGTACTTTCATTATGATGTTTTACTGTTCTCTGTTCTGTTCACCAGACTTCGTTGGTCTCACGTGGGACTTGAACTCTGTCCACCCCAGACTGAGGTTCTCTGATAAGAAAACCGCAGTGATGTGTGTGTGTGACGATGAGCCTTACCCAGATCATCCCGACAGGTTCGACTGGTTCTATCAGCTGCTGTGTGCAGAGGAGCTGTGCAGGCGCAGCTACTTCCTGGTGCAGTGGAGCGGACGTGTTCATGTGGCTGTGACGTACAGAGGACTGCAGAGGAAAGGGAAGGGACCTTCCTCCGTTTTAGGAGGAAATGACCAGTCCTGGAGCCTCTTCTGCTCTGATGAAGGCTTCTCTGTTTGGCACAATAATCAGGAGACAGTCCTGCAGAAGAAACCCGACTGTCGGACTGTGGGGGTGTACGTGGACTCAGAGGCCGGGGTCCTGTCCTTCTACTGTGTGTCCGACACTCTGACCCTGCTCCACAGCTTCAGCACTGACTTCACTCAGCCGCTGGTCCCTGCCTTTGGTTTCATGTTCAACTCTCAGGGCTCATCAGTGATTCTGTGTCCACAACCAGACAACAACCACTATATAACTTGGGACTAAAGAACTAAAGGACAAATACATGAGTACTTGATGTCTGAGGGTGTAACGCTAAACATTTTTAGCAGAGTTCTTTATTTATGAGACTTTGCAACATTGTCAGTATTGTCACCTCCTTAAATGTCCTGCGATGTGTAAAATAGTTTAATTCACTTGTTCTATTAACAGTTGTAATACATGTAAATGATTAATAATAAAACTGCAGTGGAAACTTAATACAAACCAGAAGTAACATTGTAAATAACCTTTTTTGGCCTAATATTTGGACATTTGATTCATCAAAATCATTCATTTGTATTATCCAGACTTTAGTCAAACTTTGGGGGAATAATCTAAGTGTTTCCACAAACCTACTGTGTTCTGTTTATTACTTAATATATAAATAGCTTCTCCTAAAACTTAATTAGACTAATTTAATTAGACATAAAAAAGAAATGTCACACCACAGGATACAAAACGGAATTTTTGGTAAATAAAAAATAAAATAACTAAATGTAACGTGGCATGTTGGTCATAAATATATTCATTTGTCTCAAACATTAAAAAAAAAAAAAAAAAAAAAAGACATACTATAATATAATGAACATGCGAGCAAATTGTCTCAGATGAATCGTAACATAAGTGTCAAATATTTAACAACAGTTTACTTGGTCAGAAAACCTTTGACAGACGCACCATGGAAGTTTATCGATTTCCTCAGTCTCTTTTTCATCAACCCATTTTACTTTCATTTTGATGTTTCTGTTGGATAGTAGATTGAAGAGGTCCTCTAGGGTTTGTGGATCATCTGTCTAAAGTTGACCCCCATCAAACGCAAACACACAAAAACTCTGTCAATCATTTATGCTATAAAAAGTTTGGTTTGTGTTGCTTTAGTTTTGGAGATATTAACGATTCTTTTACAGGTCAAATTGGGGTCAGCAGCCCTCAGGAAGCTTCAAAATGCTCTAAAACGCCACAAAATGGTGTTTGTGCTGAAAAAAGTTTGGTTTGTGCGATTCTGGTTATTAGCGGCGTTATTTTCGGCCGATGACGTCATCCAGCCCCTCAAAATACTGAACGGCCTCAAAACAGGAAAAAAAAAAAAAAAGCATCAAAACAGGGAATTAAACGAAACGCTTGTATTTTATTTGTGCTGTTTTGCGCTCTCACAATTTTCATTTGTGCGAGCATATTTCTAAAATTATTTATTATTATTAAATTAAATGACGTCATTTCCGCTCAGCTAACGGCAGCGGCTTTAGCAAAACTCCGCAAAACTAGTGAAGAGAAACGACATCAGGCTGTGGAAGTTTGTATCGGTCTGTAGTAACTTGATTTTGGTTCATATTTTATATAATTCAGACTTTTCCACAGCCTGAGGACGTTTCTCTTCACTAGTTTTACGGAGTTTTGTGGAGTTTTGCTAAAGCCGCTGCAGTTAGCCGAGCGGAAATGACGTCATGGAACTTCCGCTAAAACAATAAATAATTTTAGAAATATACTCGCACAAATTAAAACTGTCTCATCATAAAACGGCACAAACGAAAAACAAACTATTGACTTTTTTTTTTTGTAGGTGTGCGTTTGATGGGAGCCAAAACTACAACTAAAACAAAAAGCGTAACACAGCTGGATATTTATATAAACTGAAATGTAATGAAATTAAAGTCACGTGAACATTTGTTTTGTCTGTTATTTAATCAATAATAAACTTCATCTCACTCTAAAAGGTCTACACCAGGCATGTCCATACTACGACCCGTGGGCCAAATGCGGCCCTCAGACAAATTTTTCTTGGCCCTCAGGCTTCCAGGTGCTTTGGCCCAAATGACCTTGCATCAATTAAAAATGAACTTTTTACTGCAAGATTTTTGAAAATCTACTTTGATAACACTAATATTGAAGATTTAATGTGTGGTTTTGAGGATTTTAGAGTGAATAAAGGACTGATGGCTCATTCTAAAGTGTTAAACATGCACATATTTCAGTTATTCACTGTACTGAGTTCCAGTCTACAGCCGTCGATCAGCCCTCTGCTTGATCTGTGTTTAGAAATGTGGCCCTTGATGAAAAAAGTTTGGACACCCCTGGTCTACACTATTTTCTACCCACTGTACTAGATTCATATTTGAAAAAAAAAACAAACAAAAAAAACCCTATACCTTTCTGTAAAAACTCATGAAATAAACCGAGACCAGATATACAGTTTTTATTTACAACAGCTCATTTGAAAAACAGAGTCAAAAACATGATTTGTTCATAAAGAAAAGTGTAACTCAATGAAATATAAGAACCGTGAGTCCACAGGTACAGGGAGGTAGGTCCTGGTCCTGGTTTAGAACCGGTTCAAGTCCAGTCCAGACCTGGTTTTGGTCCAAGCTCTCTCAGCTTAATATAAAACTTTAGATTGAACAGCGGCGCCCCCTGGAGTGAAGCCGGTGCTATAGACCAGGTGCCGTGCTCTGTGAAGACGTCCCCTCTGCAACACAAACAGCATTCATACTGTACAATACAGGATCCTCAGATAAACATCTCTGATTTGATCATCACACCTGTAGTGTGTGTTGTGGTCACACCAGTTTGTCAAAGTCTGATCCCGTCAGATCAGAAGTTTCTTTATCTTTAAGTATTTATTTATATAGCGCTTTTCAGACATTTTTTTTTGTCCCCAAAGATGCTTTACAGAGCATTATTCAGCATTATTCATTCACTCTATACCCAGTGATGGTAAACTACTACTGTAGCCACAGCTGCCCTGGGGCAGACTGACAGAGGAGCGGCTGCCATGCCACTTGGTGCCATCGGTCCCTCCGACCACCACCATCACACACACACACACCACTTTCATACTAGGCAATGTGGGTGAAGTGTCTTGCCTATGGACACAATGATTGAATTGATTGTATTTAACTGACCTTGACTATCAACTGTTTTATGGAGACCTGGAGCATGTTTTGGGTTGGTGGGGGAAACTGGAGTGTCCCGGGGAGAAACATGCAAACTCCACACAGAAAGGCCCTGGGCGACCCGGGGATCGAACCCGTGCCGCCAAGTTTAGCAGGACTGGGTCTGGATCTGGTCTGGACTTGAATGGAGACACTGGGAAAATCAGCAGCCACAGGAGGCACCAGAGGCAAAAACTGTTGCTGTGTCCTTAGGCAAGACACTTCACCCACAATTGCCTAGTGTGAAAGTGACGTGTGTGTGTTGGTGGGAGGGGTCGCTGACGCAGATTGGCAGCCTTGCTTCTGTCAGTCTGCCCCAGGGCAGCTGTGGCTACAGTAGTAGTTTACACCACTGAGTGTGGAGTTAATAAATAATAAACTGTAAAACACTTTGTGGATCCTGAAAAGCGCTATATAAATGTAATGATGAATTAATTAATATATTTGTAACTTAATAAAGAAAAAAAGCAGCTCTGTGTACAACAGAACGTGCACAGAACAAGAATGTATTTTTATGGACAACAGGAGCAGGATGTTTGTATTTGGAGACTGACGCCTTAAACTGTTGGACTAATCGACTGGACTGAGGAGGACGAGTTGTTCTGTTCATCGTGAGTCGAGTTGCGGGTGTGAACACGAACACATTTGATTAAAGCCCATGTGAAGCCAAAAGTGATTCTAAAGTATTTAAAAGTGAATCTGTTTGTCGTTTCTGGGTCTGTGAACGTCAAATAAAAAGTGAGTAAAGATCAAACTCTCGTCTGTGAGAATATTTCAGCTGTGAGTCTCTGTGGAGCTGTTTTCTGTTTCTGTGTCTGAAGAGGACGACAAGAAAACTGGACAAACTCTGAACAAAACAAATCACACACAGAGACCAGGAGGGACACGAGTATCGAATCATGAGACCGGTATCGAACAATTTGATATTATATTGAATATCGTTGCATCGTAGTGCTGAGGAGGAGGTTGTGGGTTTGACTCTCACCTGTCTGTAGGGTGGAGGTTTTGATGCGACTGTGCTGAATCTGGAGAAATGCGCCTTTTTCCGACTTTTTGCCGTCGGGCCACACTTCACACGCCTGCACCGAGATCGGACCAGAACCGGACTTCAGGTGGATCTGGATCCCGTCCTAAAGAGACCAGGAGAAACGAAGAGAGTCAGATGCCCTCCCGGAGCGTCAGGTGCCCTCCCCGTGCGCGTTAGGTGCCCTCTCATCCCCTCGTCACCTTTTTGGGAGCCGGGACCTCGAGTTTGGTCTCCTCTGGAGCTCTGACCACGATCACAGTTTGGTTCTCGAGCACTGGAAGGTTCTGGACGTCTGAGAACGTGACGTAGGCCAAGGTGAGACCGTCAAGGAGCTTAAAAGTTAAAAGTCACAAAGAAAGTAGAATATTTCCTCAAATAAACTGGTCAATACTGTCAGAGGAGCAGAGGAAGAAGAGCAGAAGAGCAGAGGAACAGAGGAAGAAGAGCAGAAGAGCAGAAGAGCAGAGGAACAGAGGAGCAGAGGAAGCAGAGCAGAAGAGCAGAGGAACAGAGGAAGAAGAGCAGAAGAGCAGAGGAACAGAGGAACAGAGGAAGAAGAGCAGAAGAGCAGAGGAACAGAGGAAGAAGAGCAGAAGAGCAGAGGAACAGAGGAGCAGAGGAACAGAGGAACAGAGGAGCAGAGGAACAGAGGAAGAGCAGAAGAGCAGAAGAGCAGAGGAACAGAGGAACAGAGGAAGAAGAGCAGAAGAGCAGAGGAACAGAGGAAGAAGAGCAGAAGAGCAGAGGAACAGAGGAAGAAGAGCAGAAGAAGAGGAACAGAGGAAGAAGAGCAGAGGAGCAGAGGAGAGCAGAGAGAAGAAGAGCAGAAGAGCAGAGAGGAACAGAGGAGAGGAAGAAGAGCAGAAGAGCAGAGCAGAAGAGAGGAACAGAGGAAGAAGAGCAGAAGAAGAGCAGAGAGAGAGCAGAGGAAGAAGAGCAGAGAGAAGAAGAGCAGAGAAGAAGAGCAGAAGAGCAGAGGAACAGAGGAAGAAGAGCAGAAGAGCAGAGGAACAGAGGAACAGAGGAACAGAGGAGCAGAGGAACAGAGGAACAGACAGGACAGGCGCAGACAGGTGTCGGTGGTGGATATCTGGCGTTGTTTGGGTCGTCAGTCATCTGGAACAGTTGCTGGGCGCAGCTCTTGATGAGTCCGTCCAGAGTCTCCTCCACGAGCTTCATCTTCTCCGACTCTTTCTGCATCTTCTGCTTGGGCCACAGGAAGCTGGAGATCGGGCACTTCCCCCTGGACATGACACGGATCAGATCAGCGCTTCAGTGAACTTTACTCTCTGACATTTCTCCTCAAAATGTCCCTGTTTTCGATTAGTTTGGCTGCATGTGTTTGTCAGACCAAGTTCTTAGAGGTTCACTGCTGCCCTCTACTGGGGAATGTCAGAACTCTGTTAGAGAAATCCTTTTTTCAGGCATGAAACGGGTCAGGGGTGAAAAAGGTGAGGAGGGAGCATGAGGAGACTGGGGGCACTGAGGCGTCTGTTTCAGGTGAATAAGACCAGGCCCTGTTTAAATGAAAAGAGATTCACTAGTATCTGCACAAGTGTTGTAGACAAGACCAAGACCAAGACCAATCTGAGACCAGAGGGCCCCGAGACCGAGACAAGACCAAGACTGTTAAAGGCTGAGACCGAGACAAGACCAAGACCACGGCCCATCAAGACCAATATAGAATTATATCAATGTTTTTATAAATCTATCTCAATTTTATCTGATGAATGTTAATTTAAGACCAAAATAAACCAAACAAACTGAGCTGCACTTAAACACTCTGTGTCCCTTTTTGGAGCCTCATCACAGTTTGAGAAAAACCTTCTTTAAGAAAACTTCCACTGGCACTTTACACAAAACAGTGAGGAAAGTGAAGAAAGTGAAGGATTTTTAAATATCCATCCATTCATTTTTTTCCTCTTCTCCGGGGTTGGGTCTCAGGGGCTTTAGTCTGAGCAGGGACTCCCAGACTTCCCTCACCCCAGACACGTCCTCCAGCTCCTCTGAAGGAACCCCGAGGTGTTCCCAGTCCAGTCCAGAGACATTGTCCCTCCAGTGTGTCCTGGGTCTTCCCCGGGGCCTCCTCCCGGTGGAACATGAACACCTCCTGAGGGAGACGCCCAGGAGACATCAGAACAGACGTCCTCCCCTCAGACGCTCCTCTCCACGTGGAGGAGCAGCGGCTCTACTCCGAGCTCCTCCCGTGTGACTGAGCTCCTCAGTCTAATCTCTAAGGGAGCACCCGGCCGCCCTGTGGAGGAAACTCATTTGTGCCGCTTGTATCCTCGATCTTGTTTGACAGTAAATCGAGAGCTTTGCCTTTCGGCTCAGTTCCTCTTCATCACAACAGTCCGATACAGCGACTGCATCACTGCCCACGCTGCACCTGTCCACCTGTCAATCTCACGCTGCACCTGTCCACCTGTCAAACTCACGCTCCATCCTCCCCTCACTTGAGAACAAGACCCTGACATACATGAACTTGAATACTGATACTTGTTTAAGGAGTAAGTGTTCCAACTACAGGATTTTAAACCTGTTTTTTCAAATTCTTTTACTGCTGTAACTGCTCGTTGTTTTGGTCTTAGACGTTGTCCCTGCTGTCGTACTCACGTCCAGCGCACTTTGCTGGGCGACTCCTTCTGCACCAGGTCCAGTCCTTTGAGCACAGCGGTGATGTCGTACAGTCGTCTCTTCCTGCTGCGCAGAGCCACGGCCGCATGGTGCAGGTCCAGGGACCGGTCCGAGTTCAACAGGAGCTCCAGGAACTGAGGCGTGATGACGGCGAGGGCGGCGTCAGAGCGGACTGCTGGAGGAGAAAGAACATGAGGAGAAACGTTTACTCACGAGGAAAAGCGTTTACTCACGAGGAGAAACGTTTACTCATGAGGAGAAACACTATTGACTTATCGCTCAGTATATGAAAGATGGAACAGTTGATTCTGGGGTCTGTATTTATCGTTTTGACACATTTATGTAATAATAAGTCATAATTAACTATAACAAATGACTGCTTTGTTCTTGTATTTGTAGCAGCTCAGGTCTTTTAACGATACTACAGATTTAAAATGTGTTTACAGCCGTTATATTTAAGTCAGAGGCATAAAGTAGTTTCAGTTTTGCCGTTTATCGCAGGAATGGGCAATTATTTTTTCCATGGAGCCACATCAGAAACAGAAAATATTGTAGAGGCCAAAATGCTCAACTCAATTCTGCATAATATTAATTGTATTTCTTTATAAAAAGCAGGAAATCTCATTGTTCTGAGGAGCTGCTCAGACTGAAAAGAGTTTATGTTCTGACTAAACAATGAAAAAGTGAAGTTGCCGAACAAAAAATGGCTCTAAAGCTCTAAAGTTAAAGCAACGCAGCTTTAGTCCAGGCATGAAGTAAAATTATAAAATATGTTTATTTTGTAAATCCAACTGAGCTTAAAGGATCAGAGTCGAGCTGCACAAGGCCCCGGTCAGGTTTATCATTATATTTCTCTGTAGTGAAGTATCGAGCTTCAAACCTTGTTATCAGGACACATCTATTTTCATATATTTAGCTTTTTAACAAATTGTACTTTCCAGACTCCATCATTTTACTCCTACTTGAGTAATATACAGTACAGAGTAACAGTACGTTTACTTGAGTAAACGTTGTGCTTCCTCTTCACTGTGAGTCTAAAGTGACAAAAGTTTTACGTGACGATCTGAAACGATGTGAACAGTTTTCAGCTCTTTCAGATCTGATTTTGTTTGTCTCATGTTTGTGTTTGTCCTTTGAAAACAACACATTTTATGCTTCATTATTATTAATATTTTGTGATTTCAAACATTAACTTCACATTATAAATCAGGTGTTTGGTCCAGACTTGGCAGGTGCAGTTTGTTCTGACTCGTGTCTTACCGTTTATTGGAGTTTTTTTGTCTGGAGAAAGGAGCCGCTGCAGCTCAGAACTGAAAACAGAAGAGCCAATGTTAGTTTGATGATCGCACGGAGAAGAGAGAGAAAGAAGAAGGAGGATGGAGGAGGGAAGGGAAAGGGAGAAGAAGAAGGAGAAGGAGGAGAGAGAGAAGGAGACAGCAGGAGGAGATGTGTCTGTACCTGGGCTCTTGTGGTTCTGTTGGAGGCTCTGGGCTTCTGTCTGCAGGGGGCGCTGTGACTGTGACCATTTCTGTTTCTGTCTCTGTCACCTGAGGAACATAAACTGTGATCAGCACATTCACAATCCCAAAAGTTTAACTCTTCTGGATCGACGATATCACACACGATGCCCGGGAACATGTTTTATAAATCCGCCATAACATTCCTAACCATAAAAGATAGAAACGAATGTCCAATAGGAGGGTTTCAGTCACGTGATCACGATGATGCGCGAATTTCAGGTGGAGGGCAGGAAGTGAAGATAAACACGACAAACAAACACGGCTCTGGAGAACACAGATGTGGAGAAGAGTTCGTATTGTCAGGATTTAGAGCCAGTAACGAGGCAAAAGTACGAGCAGTTAGTCGACAAATATATTGGACGTGACCCTGATCTTATTGAAAATGAGAGAATTTTCGACCGAAGTAAAAGATTTGCCGACAATCGAGGCAGAGGAGATCACGAACTATTGAGCTCTTCAGACATCGTTCTACACCAGACAACAGATGAAGGGAAAGTACAAAAGTTTGGAGGCATAAAACTTTTTTTGTGAGTGGATGGGTCCTCAACCTCGGTGCAAAACGCCTAAATGATGATTATCGTTTGGTCTTCGCCGGGGTGAGTGTTTCTCTTATTTTATGTGTATAGACCAGGGGTGGGCAAACTGCGGCCCTTTAAACCTTTTAATCCGGCCGCCGAACTGGAATAAATTACAATAATAAACCTTGTTGATGTTTTATTTGTCATGCATTTTCGGCGTTTCCCAGTAGATGGCGACACTATATATACATTGAGGTGCGGCGTATTATGTTTGGCCGCAATGCTTTATGGGAAAGTGTTCTTACAGGAGTTATTCGGACCATGAGTGAAGTAGTGGTGTTCAAGATATAAGACTGCACTGCTTCCAGTATAAGTTAGTAAAAACTAAACATAGGAAGCCTTTAGTCTCTATATTGCAATTATCAATGCATTAAACATCGTAGAGTTTGGTTTCACTGTGTTCACAGGTGTATGTGTGTGTGTGTGTGTGTGGTTGAATGGTGTGAACTTTATTTTCGAGCTACTTTACAGTCAGACGTGGAAACAGTCCGCTCACGATATTCATTCACCTGTGATGTGCAATGGAACAGATCTATACACTTTTATGTGTTCTGAGTCTTTCACAGCAATGTTGAAGCGTGTAGTGAGCGTCCAAAGTCCTACATAAGCGTAAATATGAATGTAATGAAGCCGAGCTCTGAACACGTCATGTCCTGTCTTCTGTCCATCCCTTCAGTCAAATTTTAGGACCCTATGTGGCCCGCGAGCCAAAAAGTTTGCCCACCCCTGGTCTAGACTGTTATGGAAAAACTGCAGTGTATCAGCAGTGACCTCTATCTTCGTTTACGTTTAGGTGAACCACAAAAAAACAATTTGTCTTTGTAACAAGCCTTTGTCAAAGTGGTCACTGCAGACACGAGCATTTGCGGATTCTGCTCCTCCCGACTGCATACATGGGTTTGTAATCCACTTTTTACGGCTTTGTTTTGTCTGCTTTTCCCATTTCTGACCTTTGTGGACGACTATATTTGGTACTTTAAAAAAATCGCTTCTCCTTCTCTCGGTTAGAACGATTGGCACAGCCGTAAACTACACAACACATCGGCATTTTCCTCCAGTTCACTTCCTGCCCTCCATCTGATTTTGCGGCTGACAAACGTCGCCCTGTGACGTCACGTGAAACCCTCCTATTCCTGGGCCCATCCACATGAAACTAAAACAGGCTCATGTTTTCATTTTCTGTACCAAATATTCACCGTCTTACCATGTGCGTCTCCTCTATCACGGTTGCCGCCGCCTCTTCCTCCTCCTCCTCCTCCTCCTCCACGTCGTTGTCCTCCTCTCTCGTTCCTCCGTCCTCTTCTTCCTCTCCTTCCGCCTCGTCATCGGCCCGGTCCCCGGCGGTCCAGCTGTACTCGTCCTCCCCGGGGTCGTCGGTCCAGGCGTTCATCCCCAGCTCGTCGTCCTCTAAGCCGGGGGGCATGATGGGGATGGCGTCCGGGCTCACGCCGCTCGCGCAGATGTCCTCGGGCAGGAAGTGGTCCTCGCAGATCACCTGGCTCTCCGTCCACTCCTGCGTGTCGGGCTCCCGCAGCGCCGCCAGCCACACCTGCGGGAAGGTTCCACAGCGAGGCATTAAACACACGAGGTACAAGCACTTCGGCCTTTTTATATTAACGTTAAAGACGACATGTCGCGCTTGTTTCTGCTCTAAAGTTACGATCTGTGACACCTGCGGGTTGTTATGTTAGAATTTGCACGTTTTAAATCAGAATATTGATCGAAAACGACTTAAAAAACAAACAAAATAAAACAAGCCCGCTGAATTCTGCGATAGAAAACTAGAAAACTGTCACCGTGGAGGGCAGTGCGTTCATTCCCTCGGACCTGCACGAAGTCGCCCCCATCAAACACAAACCTACACAAAAACTACGTGCTGCAAAAAGTTTTGTTTGTGCGATTCTGGTTCTTAAGATATAAACAGTTTTATTTGGGGCCAGTGACGTCATCAAGCCCCTTGTGTAAATGATATGACGTCATTTTCCTTCAGCTGACGACACTGTTGGGAAAGTGACTTTAAAACTGTAATGTTATTTATGACTTAACCGGGACTGAACCAGGACTAAACTGGGACTAAACCGGAACTAAACTGGGACTAAAACAGGTCTAAACCGGGACTGAACCGGGACTGAACCAGGACTAAAACAGGACTGAACCAGGACTGAACCGGGACTGAACCGGGACTGAACCGGGACTGAACCGGGACTAAATCAAAACTGAACCAGAGCTGAATACGGACTGAACCAGAATTAAAACCAGGTCTAAACTAGATCTAAACCAGGACTAAAACAGGATTTAACAGGACTAAATCCTGCTGTGTGGACCTGTTTCCTCGTCTTCTATCAATAATATTTTTAATTTAGTTCAGTAAAATCTGGTCTTTTTATTTTCTTTTATCAGACAAAACGTCTTCTGTTACATTTTCCTCATCTTTGCTTCTCTGCAGCAAATCAAGTAATCCAAAGTATTCAGATTACATTACTCACCTACAGTAATTTAATGGATTATGTTACAAACTACATTTTGGGGTGTGTAATCTGTAATCTGTAGGGGATTACATTTTAAAAGTAAACTTCCCAACACTACACGTTTTCCAGTGACTGAGAAAACACTGAATTAAAACAGTTTGGTTAAAGTTTCCAGATCTCGCAGTAAAAACCTGGATCCTGCGCGGTAAAAAGTTCGTGGGTCATTTTGCGTCGGAACCCGCCCCGGGCCCCGGGAGCGAACACAACTCCGCCCGCGACAAAAAACAGAGTTAGAACCGGGTTAGAACCGGGACAGGATCCGGACCTTGATGCGGGCTGGGTCCTGCGGGAGGCTGAAGAAGCGCTTCGGGGCTCGGCTGAAGCTTCGGTCCGCGCTGAGCTGCTCCCGGTTCGGGCAGCTGGACACGGCGCACTTCACCATGGCACCGGGAGCTAACGGGGGATAACTGCTGCTAACGGCTAACGGCGAGCGGAGCGGCGGCGCAAACTCCGGTAAAACCCGCAGAGACGCGCAGGAAACCGTCCGGATCCACAGTGCGGTTTGTTTACGTCGTCCACACGATCCATGCGCGCTTCACGGGACCGGAAACGGGCGTGTTTTCACTCGGAAGTACAACAGCGCGGAGGGAAACCACCGCAGATGCGTCTTTAAGGCGGCCATCTTGGTACGGACCGAAGGATTTTTATTTATTTAATAAAAAAAAATAAAAATGTATTGATTAATTTTATTTGTTTGAGCAAGGTACAACACATCACCAACTAGATAGATAGATGTATGATATAGATATAGATATAGATATTAGTCTAAACCAGGACTAAACCAAGTCTTTAAACCAGAGGTGTTCACACTTTTTCATCATGTGAGCTACTTACAAAATGACCAACTCATAATGATCGATCTAATACAAAGTCAAACAAACTGCACTGAAACACTCTGTGGCCCTTTTTTGGACCCTCCCCCACAGTTTGAGAACCTCTTCTTTAAGAGAACTTCCTCTGGCACTTTACACAAAACTGTGAAAAAAGTGAAGGAAGATTTTTACCTCCGCCAAGGAGGTTATGTTTTTGCCTGCGTTTGTCTGTTTGTTTGTCTGTCTGTTTGTTTGTTTGTTTGTCTGTTAGCAACATAACTCAAAAAGTTATGGACCGATTTTGATGAAATTTTCAGGATTTGTTGGAAATGTGAAAAGGAAGAACTGATTTCATTTTGGGGCTGATCCGGAAGAAATCCTGGATTCTGGATCACTTTGAAATTTTAGTTAACATTGTGGTAAATGGGGCCAAAAATTTTGTTTCTCAATATCTGGGTTAATTATTGACCAAACCCCATGAAATTTGACTCAGGGATGGACAATGGGATCCTCTTTCATATTCCAAAGGCTGATCCGGATCTGATCCAGAAGACTGATTTTATCGCAATTTATATAAAAAATGGGGGTAGTGCTTGGTGGAGGTCTGCGCTCTCTGACTGCTTTTCTAGTTAAACCTGTTTTTTAAAGTTCCAAACTGGAGTTTCATTCTTTTCTGGTTTTGCAGTGATATTTTCCAGCCTCTGCACGTTTACCAAACCAAACGCACATCGTGACAAACACAGATGCATTTGTCACTTTTGTTAGACAAACTTCAGCCAAATGTGGCAGTAGGTCTGTTCTGTAGATCCGCTCTATGCTGTAGACCTGCTTTGTGCCAACACTGGAACACAAATTTAGACTGGTTTTTGCTTCACGTTTGGTCTTGTTCTTCTAATCAGCCGCACTGTGGGAGGGGCTTGTGTTGGCTGTACGCAGGAAGGTGAGAGCGTGAAAAGGCGAGGGGCGGCGTGCTGACGTGAGGCAGATGGACAGGTAGGATGTTTAGGAAGTTGAACCTGCCCTGTGATGCACGCTGGTACACGAGGGCACACGCTGTCGCAGACGAGCCGTGCATAGGGAGCGTGTGTGTTTGTGATGCGCCGTAGAGTCTCCGCGGGTTTCAAATGAGCGCACAGGCTGCACTGAGACGCCCCACACGCTCCTGCACCCGCTACAAGTTTATTACCAACATGATATGATCAGACCTCGAGTGAGAGACAAGACCGAGTCCAAACGCGAGTCCGAGACGAGACACGACGATCTACGCACACGACCTTGGAGATCGACTGGTAGATCAAGATCGACGTATTGAGCACCCCTGGTTTAAAGTCTTCTTGTTGAAATAATCTAAAATTTTCACAGAATATTTAGAAACAGATCAATATTTTATGTTTAATGTTTTATTTTTTTTAGGGTGAGGAGCTCAGTCACACAGGAGGAGCTCGGAGTAGAGCTGCTGCTCCTCCACGTGGAGAGGAGCGTCTGAGGGGAGGACGTCTGTTCTGATGTCTCCTGGACGTGTCCCTCGGGAGGTGTTCATGTCCCACCGGGAGGAGGCCCCGGGGAAGACCCAGGACACACTGGAGGGACAATGTCTCTGGACTGGGAACACCTCAGGTCCCACTGGAGGAGCTGGAGGAAGTGTCTGGGGTGAAGGAAGTCTGGGAGTCTGTGCTTAGACTGATGCCCCCGAGACCCGACCGCAGAGAAGAAGAAGAACATGGATGGAGGTTTTATTTCTGTTCTGTTTTCAGGTTGAGCCGTTCTCTTCTGTTCTGATGTTGATCTTGGTCCAGATCCTTCAGTCCTGCACAAGATTCTTCCTCTGCACAGTTTTGGTTCCAAGTCCAAATTTGTTTCCCAGTTGGTGAAGTTTTTCCAGATGTTGTATTGAAGCTGCAGAGTCTTTGGTGAGTGTGAGCAGCAGATTCAAAACACAAAATGATTCTCCCAAAGAAACAAGTTCACAGAAAACAACTCAACCTGAAAACAGAACACAAATAAAACATTCAAAACTGTACAAGACGATACCAGGTCGTCTTGATTCTGTTTACGTGAGCATGAATCAGTATTTCCAGGATGATCAAAATGTGAGTCTGTGATTTTAAAATAATAAAATAATAATGCATCAGTTTTATCTAGCACTTTTTTGGACACTCAAAGACACTTTACAGTTCATTATTCATTCACTCCAGACCCAGTGGTGGTAAACAACTACTGTAGCCACAGCTGCCCTGGGGCAGACTGACAAAAGTGCGGCTGCCAGTCTGCGCCATCGATCCTTCTGACCACCACCAACACACACACACACACACACAGACCACTTTCACACTAGGCAATGTGGGTGAAGTGTCTTGCCTAAGGACACAATGACAGTTTTTGTGACTGGCGCCTCCTGTGGCTCCTGATTTTCCCAGAGTCTCATCCAAGTCCAGACCAGGACCAGACCAGGACCAGACCCAGAGCTGCTGAGCTTCTGAGATGTGACAGGATCAGACTTTGACAAGTCGGTAAAACCACAAACCAGACAGAGATAAAGATAAAAGGGAAAGGGGTAAAAACTGCAGCGCGGCTCGTTCTGTGTGTGGATGGATCCTTCTCCTCCAGACTTTTACAGACGGACAGTTTGATAGAAATAGTCTCATCTGAGAAATTATTGACTTGACTGAATGAAACAAAGACATTTTTGTAAAATGTTGGGCTCAGTTTACTCAAACACAGTTGAGATCAACACACTGACATGTCTTGATGTGGTGTTGACATGATTTGTGTTTGTAACAAGTTAAACTGAGAGGAAATTAGCGTCACAGAGACTTAAAACCTGCACTTTAACTGTTTGATTTGATTGTTTATTTCTTTTTGCTCTGGAGTGGGTGAACTTTACTATTTTTATGTCATGAACATTTACAGGTCACTTTTTAAAATGTTTTATCCCTTCAGCCCAAAGTCATGAGCTGCTCTCTGAAATATTATTATGTATGTTAAAAATCACTAAATAAAAAAAATAAAAAAACTTGAATTGCAAAAATAAATAAATACAATTAAAATAAAATAAAAACAAAAAATAAATTATAAATACAAATCAAATAAAAAAAAAATATATATATATATAATAATATAAATAAAAATGTAAAATTATATATATATATATATATATATATATATATAATATATAATATATATATAAAATATAAATATATAATAAAAAATAAAATCCAAATAAATAATAATAAAAAAATACAAACATAAAATAAAAATAAATTATAAATTTAAAAAATGTATAAAATATATATATATATATATATATATATATATATATATATATATATATATATATATATATATATATATATATATATAAAATAATAATAAAATAAAACATTGATCTGTTTCTGTACATTCTGTGAAAATGTGAGGTCATTTCATCAAGAGTTGCCAAAATGCTTGACTCTAAACTCTGTATAATAATGTTTGTTTTTTTCGGTGCGTGACTTTTCTTAAAGAAAGTGTTCTTTGCGCGCGTGTTTGCGCGTGTTTGCGCGTGTTGAAGTGTTGAAGTGTGTTGTGATCGACGCGAACAAAGGCTCGCGGAGAGACTGGCGCATTCTGGAGATGCGAGGGAATGCAGCGTGCGCGCCCCCCGCCTATGTGCGTGCGCGCCCCCGTCAGCATCAGCGTCCGAAACAACGAACGGCGAAACAAACGCGCAGAACCGACCGCGTCCGCCGCGTCCTCCGCTCCGTCCGCGCTCGGGACCGGCTCAGGCGCGTGGGCTTTGGCGCAGTTCGGTCCGGTCCGCGCGCGCGCCTCTGCGTCAGTGCGTCCGCGCGCGTGCCACTCCGTCCGTGCGTGCGTTCGTGCGCGTGTCCGTGAGTCTGTCTGGGTCCGTTTCGCCGAAGCCGAAGCCGAAACATCCTCCGAACGCGGCTCCGGTGCGGGGCATGGCGGCGGGGACAGTGCGCTAAGAGCCGGACTCCACCAGGACTCAAACGGCACTCAACCAGGACCAGGACACGACCGGGACTGAGCAAGAACCGGGACCGGGGACTGGACCGAGACCTGCGCCGAGACCTGAGTCCGGACCAGAACCGAGCCACACCGAGCCACCAAAGAACAAGAAGAAGCAACGCCATTTCAGTATGTTTCTGTTTCTCTGTCACCTGTCACTGTAGACCTGCTTTAGTCCCGGTTTAGTCCCGGTTTAGTCCTTGGTTAGTCCTGGTTTTACCCTTATCTAGTCCTGGTTTAGTCCTGGTTCAGTCCTGATTTGCTGCTCTGTGATTTTCTCGGCGAACTCCGGTTTTGAGTCCGGTTCTGTTGGGTTCAGTTGACACACTTTTCCCTTCTGTGGTCCTGGTTCAGTCCTGGTTTAGTCCTGGTTCAGTCCTGGTGTAGACCGGGTCTTGGACTGGTCCTGGGTGAGTTTGGTGTTTGTTTTCCAGACGCGCTCACAGATGGAGCTTTACTCAGAAACACTTGTGAGTCAGTCCAGAGTCTGGGACAAACTGAATAATTTAAACTCCGAGGTTCTTTAAGGTCACAGACTGAACCAGGACTAAACCAGGACTAAACCAGGACTAAACCAGAACTAAACCAGGACTAAACCAGAACTAAACCGGGTCTAAATTGGGAAACCAGGACTGAACCAGGACTGAACCGGGACTAAACCAGGACTGAACCGGGACTAAACCAGAACTAAACCAGGACTAAACCGGGTCTAAATTGGGACTGAACCAGGACTGAACCGGGACAGAACCAGGACTAAACCGGGTCTAAATTGGGACTGAACCAGGACTGAACCAGGACTGAACCGGGACTAAACCAGGACTGAACCGGGTCTAAATTGGGACTAAACCAGGACTGAACCGGGACTAAACCAGGTCTAAACTGGGACTGAACCGGGACCGACCCAGGACAGAACCAGGTCTAAACCAGGACTGAACCAGAACTAAACCAGGACTAAACAGGTTTAAACTTGTACTGAAACTGGACCAAACTTGGACAGATCCAGACCAGGACTGATCTGGGTCTGGGTTAATCCCGGTTTAGTCCTGATGGAGAAACGAGTCCGTGAGAACCGGGACTTTGTTGCCGTAGCGATAAACAACTTTATTCTGACAGGAGTTTAAACGAGACTCGAAACTTTGAATGAGTTTTAACGTTTGTCCAAAACTCCTGATGATGTCGACAGGTGGAACAGAACGTCCCCAAACGTCTAGAAAGTGTTTTTTTTTTTTTTTTTTTTTTTTTTGGACCTTTAGAGTAAAACCTGTTGACTTGTGTGTCGTCGTTTAGATTTAAACTTAGACTAAGAATAAAATATAAATGTTTAGAGCGACTTGATTTTTCCAAAAATCATTCTCACGATTATTTTTTATTTACACGATGCATTTATTTAGAAATTCTCTTTAAAAAACACTTTGCAAAACTTTCAAATTGAAAATAAATTCAGGCTACAAAAATCTGTGTGTCATTCGTTCATTTGTTTTTGAATAAAACCAAAAATAAGAAAATGAAAAAACTAATTAAAACTCTTTTCTTCATTATTTGTCTCCAAAACCAAAATGAAAAAAACAAAAAACAGATAATGATTAGTTTTTTCAGTTTTCGATTTTGTGTTTAAATGAAAAATGGAAAAAAAAAAAACGGATAACGGACTGAACCAGGACTTGGGTGATCAGGACTGAGACTGGTTCAGTCCTGGTATAATCCTGGTTCAGTCCTGGTTTAGTTCTGGTTTAGTCCTGGTTGAGTCCTGGTTTAGTCCTGGTTCACTCCATTATCTGTTTTTTTCCATTTTTTTTTCTTCTTTTATTTAATTTTGGTTTTAGAGACAAATAATGAAGAAATGTTTTTTTTTTTGGTTTTATTTCGAAAAAAACAAATGAACAAACGGCACAGATTTTCAAATCTGAACCTTAGAGCAATTTTATGATGTATAAAACATAAAATGAATAAAATAAATTTGAACATGAAATAAAACAGAAAAACTAAAAATAAACTTTATATCCAGCTCTTCTACAATCTCTATGTTTAAAACATAAAATAAATAAACTTATTTATATCAAAAATATCCCCAAATAAACTTTGCTAAGCTTTAAATCATTTCAGCTCAGTTATATGAGTTTGGAGATCATACAGTTGTAGGGAGTATTATCTGTTACATAAGTTGTAGGGAGTATTATCTGTTACATAAGTTGTAGGGAGTATTATCTGTTACATAAGTTGTAGGGAGTATTATCTGTTACATCAGGGTGAGTCTCAGAGGGAGCAGTGTGTGTCTGTATGTGAAGCTCGTCTGTATTCACCTCTGAGACCACAGTCTAGACCCAGACTGAACCAGGACTAAACCACGAATAAACTGGGACTACGACTGAACCAGGACCAGGACTGAACCAGGACCAGGACTGAACCAGGTCTAAACCATTTCTAAAGGTGGACTAAACCAGGACTAAATGTAACATTCATTATATTTCATGGACATAAAACAAATGCTTTAGTCCTGGTTTAGTCCTAGTTGTAGTCCTGGTTTTGGTCCTGGTTTTAGTCCTGCTTTAGCCCTTTAGACCTGGGTCAGTCCCTCTTTAGTCCTGGTTTCAACTGAACTTGTTTCAGACCTGGTCCAGTCCCGGTCAGTCCTCCTTTAGACCAGTTTAAGTCCTTGAGCTGGATCCTGGTGGTTTTGTTTTGGGTCCAGTCCAGAGTCCAGAGGTGAGACTGTGCTTTTCCCTCAGACTGTGGCGCTAACTGTGAGCACTGCTCTGTCTGAAACTCTGAGACTTTCACCTCAACTTTTATTGAACACAGTCTGACCCGAAGGACCTGATTTATCTGAAATAAAACAGTCGAGTCACGTCTTAGTGTAAAACCAAACTCCAGAACAAAACCACGACACTCGCTCGGATCACAGGAAAAATGAAAACAGGTCTCTAAATAACATATATATATATATATATATATATATATATATATATATATATATATATATATATATATATATATATATATATATATATATATATATATATATATATATATATATATATATATATATATATATATATATATTTTTTCTTGAGTTTGATTTTAAAACTTTTCTGGACAGAGTCTACTCGTGTGTCTACATTGTGTCTCCATGGTAACTGCTGAACATTCTGCCATAGACATACATGTGGACCGCCCCCCAGAGTGATGTGACTGTAAAGTATCAGTTAATTTAGTGAATTGGTTTAGACCAGGTTTAGTCCTGTTGTTAGTCTCTGTTTAGTCCTGGTTTAGTTCTGGTTTAGTCCTAGTTTAGTCCCTGTTTGGTCCTGGTTTAGTCCCTGTTTGGTCCTAGTTTAGTCCCTGTTTGGTCCTGGTTTAGTCCTGGTTTAGTCCTGGTTTAGTCCTGGTTTAGTCCTGGGTTAGTCCTGGTTTAGACCTGGTTTAGACCTGGTTTAGACCTGGTTTAGTCCTGGTTTGGTCCTGGTCCAGTCCTGTTTTAGTCCTAGTTTAGTCACTGTTTGGTCCTGATTTAGTCCTGGTTTAGTCTCTATTTAGTCCTGGTTCAGTCTTGGTTTAGTCCTGGTTTGGTCCTGGTTTAGTCCTGGTTTAGTCTCTGTTTGGTCCTGGTTTAGTCCTGGTCCAGTCCTGGTTTAGACCTGGTTTAGACCTGGTTTAGTCCTGGTTTGGGCCTGGTCCAGTCCTGGTTTAGTCCTGGTTTAGTCCTGGTCTGTTCTCAGAGGGAGCAGTGTGTGTCTATATGTGAAGCTCATCAGTATTCACATCAGAGACCACAGTCTAGACCCGGACTGAACCAGGACCAGGATCAGTCCAGGACTGAACTGGTACTACAGTTAAACCAGGACCAGTCCAGGTAAAACAGGACTAAATGTGACATTTATTATATTACATGGTCATAAAACAAATGTTTTTAAGTGTCATAAAGGTCGTGTGAGGGCGGGTCGGTCCGGTCCTGGTTCAGTTCTTCTATAGACTGAAGCCTGGGATTTAGTCTTTGAGTAGTTCTTGTTTAGACCTGATTCAGACCTGGTCTAGTCCTGGTTCAGTCCCTGTTCAGCCCTGGGACATGTCCTAGGACAAGTCCTGGTTTAGACCTGGGACAGACCTGGGACAAGACCTAGTTTAGTCCTGGTTTAGTCCCAGTTCAGTCCTGGGACAAGTCCTGGTTCAAACCTGGTTCAATCGTGTTTCAGTCCTGGTTTTAGACCCGGTTTTAGACCCAGTTGCGTCGCGGTTCAGTCGCGGTCTTGTTTGATGGATGGTCTCTATAGAACCCTCTGTATGGTTTCCATGGAGACTGCAGGTCTGAGCGCGCTCAGTAGAGAGCAGCAGACGAGGGGTTGGAGCGCGCTCAGTAGAGGCCTGAGATGAACCCGGCGACGCGTGAGCAGAAACCTAATGAGAGCGAGTTCAGACCGGGACAAGAACCGGGACTAAACCGGGACTAAATCAGGACTGAACCTGGACTAAACCTGGACTAAACCAGGACAAGAACCGGGACTGAACTGGGACTAAACCAGGACTGAACCAGGACAAGAACCGGGACTGAACCTGGACTAAACCTGGACTAAACCTGGACTAAACCTGGACTAAACCTGGACTAATCCAGGACAAGAACCGGACTGAACTGGGACTAAACCAGGACTGAACCAGGACAAGAACCGGGACTGAACCTGGACTAAACCTGGACTAAACCTGGACTAAACCAGGACAAGAACTGGGAATAAACCTGGACTGAACTGGGACAAGAACCGGGACTAAACCAGGTCTAAACCAGGACTGAACCAGGACTAAACCAGGACAGGAACCGGGACTAAACCACGACTGAACCAGGACTAAACCAGGACAAGAATCGGGAATAAACCGGGACTAAACCTGTTTTTATTTTGTTTTGTTTTTTCAGATGTTTTGGTGAAAGTGAAGAATCTGATGAAGCTCGAACTCAGACCAAAGAATCTGAACCAACGACAAAAAACACGACAGGAAACAGGTGAGAGGAAGAAGAAGAGAGAGAGAGAGAGGAGGAAGAGAGAGGTAGAGAGAGAGGAGGAGGAGAGGAGAGATGAAAAAAGAGGACAGGAGGAGAGGAGGAGGAGAGAGAGAAGAGGAGGAGGAGATAGAGGAGAAAAGAGGATGATGAGGAGGGCAGAAAAAAAAGGAGGAGAGAGAGGAAGAGTGGAGGAGGAGAAAGTGATAGAAAAGAGGAGGAGGAAGAGTGTGTTGTTGTTGTTGTTGTTGTTTGTTGTTGTTGTTGTTGTGTTGTTGTTGTTGTTGTTGTTTGTGTTGTTGTTGTTGTTGTTGTTTGTTGTTGTTTGTTGTTGTTTGTTGTTGTTGTTGTTGTTGTTGTGTTGTTGTTGTGTTTGTTGTTGTGTTAGTGGAGTTGTGTGTTTGTTGTTGTTGTTGTTGTAGTATTTGTTGTGTTGTTGTTGTGTTTGTTGTTGTGTAAGTGGAGTTGTGTGTTTGACAGATGGAGGTGAACTCGTCTGAGAAACGACACAGAACCAGGTCCAAAGGAGTACGAGGTACACAACTACACACACAACGCACAACTGACGCACAACTGACGCACAACTATACACACAACTATACAACTGTACACACAACTGTTCACACAACTATACACAACTATACAACTATACACACAACTGACGCACAACTATACACACAATGCACAACTGACGCACAACTACACACACAACTATACACACAACTATACACACAACTATACACACAACTATACTCACAACTATACACACAACTATACACACAACTATACTCACAACTATAACAACTATACACAACTATACAACTATACACACAACTGACGCACAACTATACAACTACACAACTACACACAACTGACGCACAACTATACACAACTGTACACACACAGAATACACACAACTACACGCACAAAGCACAACTATATACACAACTGACACACAACTGATGTACAAATATACACAACTGATGCACAACACACAACTATACACACAGCTATACACACAACTATACAACTATACACACAACTGTTCACACAACTATACACAACTATACAACTATACACACAACTACACACACAACGCACAACTGATGCACAACTGATGCACAACTGATGCACAACTGACGCACAACTATACACACAATGCACAACTGACGCACAACTACACACACAACTATACACACAACTATACACACAACTATACAACTATACACAACTATACAACTATACACACAACTGACGCACAACTACACACACAACTATACACACAACTATACAACTATACACACAACTGACGCACAACTATACAACTACACAACTACACACAACTGACGCACAACTATACAACTATACACAACTATACAACTATACAACTATACACACAACTGACGCACAACTATACAACTACACAACTACACACAAGTGACGCACAACTATACACAACTGTACACACACAGAATACACACAACTACACGCACAAAGCACAACTATATACACAAATGACACACAACTGATGTACAAATATACACAACTGATGCACAACACACAGCTATACACACAACTATACACACAACTATACACACAACTATACAACTACACAACTCACAACTAATGCACAACGATACAACACACACAACACACAATTACACACAACTATACACAACTATACACAACTATACAACTATACACACAACTGACGCACAACTATACAACTACACAACTACACACAACTGACGCACAACTATACACAACTGTACACACACAGAATACACACAACTACACGCACAAAGCACAACTATATACACAACTGACACACAACTGATGCACAACACACAACTATACACACAACTGTACACACAACTATACACACAACTATACAACTACACAACTGATGCACAACTATACAACATACAATTACACACAACTATACACAACTATACAACTATACACACAACACACAACTATACACAACTGACTCACAACTATGCACAACTATACAACTACACAACTATATACAACTACACACAATACACAATTATACACACAATTACACACAACTATACAACACACAATACACACACGACTATACACACAACACACACAACTATACAGTACACACACACAAGTACACACACAAGTACACAACACACACACAAGTAGACAACTACACACACCACAAATACACACACAAGAATACAACACACAGACACAAGTACACAACATACAACACACACACACACAACTACATACGCACACACACACACACAGACACACACACACACACACACACACACACACACACTGTATTTCAATCTGAATATTACAAAAAACATGAATTTAAATGTGTGACGGCGGCTATACTGACCATTTCACACATCTGTTTCTCCTGTGTGTTGTGTGTGTGTGTTGTGTGTGTGTGTTGTGTGTGTGTGTGTGTGTGTGTGTGTGTGTGTGTGTGTTGTGTGTGTGTGTAGCTGCAGTGGAGGCTCTCACTCAGGAGCTCTTCAGGTAAATACTCAAGTTTTACAACACGTCAAGATGAAAAGTGTGTCAGGTGCCCTCCCCATGTGTGTCAGGTGCCCTCCAAGTGTGTGTCAGGTGCCCTCCAAGTGTGTGTCAGGTGCCCTCCCCGAGTGTGTCAGGTGCCCTCCCCGTGTGTGTCAGGTGCCCTCCAAGTGTGTGTCAGGTGCCCTCCCCGTGTGTGTCAGGTGCCCTCCAAGTGTGTGTCAGGTGCCCTCCCCGAGTGTGTCAAGTGCCCTCCCCGTGTGTGTCAGGTGCCCTCCAAGTGTGTGTCAGGTGCCCTCCCCGAGTGTGTCAAGTGCCCTCCAAGTGTGTGTCAGGTGCCCTCCAAGTGTGTGTCAGGTGCCCTCCCCATGTGTGTCAGGTGCCCTCCCCATGTGTGTCAGGTGCCCTCCCCGAGTGTGTCAAGTGCCCTCCCCGTGTGTGTCAGGTGCCCTCCAAGTGTGTGTCAGGTGCCCTCCAAGTGTGTGTCAGGTGCCCTCCCCATGTGTGTCAGGTGCCCTCCCCATGTGTGTCAGGTGCCCTCCCGAGTGTGTCAAGTGCCCTCCCGTGTGTGTCAGGTGCCCTCCAGTGTGTGTCAGGTGCCCTCCCCATGTGTGTCAGGTGTCCCCCAGTGTGTCAAGTGCCCTCCCCGTGTGTGTCAGGTGCCCTCCCCGTGTGTGTCAGGTGCCCTCCCCTGTGTGTGTCAGGTGCCCTCCCCGTGTGTGTCAGGTGTCCTCCCCGTGTGTGTCAGGTGCCCTCCCCGTGTGTGTCAGGTGCCCTCCCCGTGTGTGTGTCAGGTGTCCTCCCCGTGTGTGTCAGGTGCCCTCCCCGTGTGTGTCAGGTGCCCTCCCGTGTGTGTCAGGTGCCCTCCCCGTGTGTGTCAGGTGCCCTCCCCGTGTGTGTCAGGTGCCCTCCCCGTGTGTGTCAGGTGCCCTCCCCGTGTGTGTCAGGTGCCTCCCCGTGTGTGTCAGGTGCCCTCCCCGTGTGTGTCAGGTGCCCTCCCCGTGTGTGTCAGGTGCCCTCCCCGTGTGTGTCAGGTGCCCTCCCCGAGTGTGTCAAGTGCCCTCCCTGTGTGTGTCAGGTGCCCTCCCCGTGTGTGTAACAGTTTGTTTTGTGTGCAGTTGTCCCACTCCGGGCTGTGACGGCAGTGGACATGTGAGCGGAAAATACGCAAGACACAGAAGGTAAGAAGAACCTGGTTTAGTCCTGGTTTAGTTCTGGTCTAATCCTGGTTTAGTCCTGGTCCAGTCCTGGTCTAGTCCTGGTCTAGTCCTGGTTCAGTCCTGGTTCAGTCCTGGTTCAGTCCTGGTCTAGTCCTGGTCTAGTCCTGGTTTAGTCCTGGTTCAGTCCTGGTCTAGTCCTGGTCTAGTCCTGGTTCAGTCCTGGTTCAGTCCTGGTTCAGTCCTGGTCTAGTCCTGGTTTAGTCCTGGTTTAGTCCTGGTTTAGTCCTGGTTCTAGTCCTGGTTCAGTCCTGGTCTAGTCCTGGTCTAGTCCTGGTCTAGTCCTGGTCTAGTCCTGGTTTAGTCCTGGTTTAGTCCTGGTTCAGTGCTGGTCTAGTCCTGGTCTAGTCCTGGTCTAGTCCTGGTCTAGTCCTGGTTCAGTCCTGGTCTAGTCCTGGTCTAGTCCTGGTTTAGTCCTGTTCTAGTCCTGGTTTAGTCCTGGTCTTTGTCTGGGTGCTGTGGAGGTTGCCGTGGTGGTGGATGGAGGCTGTCACCATGGTAACGGCGCTGCAGCCCGTCTCCCGTGGTAACGATGATGTCTCCACGGCGACGGCGCTGTTTTAATTAACGGCAGCCAAGTTTTATTTTTAGTCCAGAGACATTTCCACTCATTCACAAAGACCGAGCCAGACTTTGTTTGGTCTGCGGTCAGTCCTGCTTTAGTCCTGGTTTGGTTCTGGTTTTGGTCTGGTTTTGTTTTCTGGTCTCTGGTCTTGGCCTGGTCCTGGTCTGGTCCCGGTCTTGGTCTGTGTTTGCTGCAGGACTGTGTGTACTCAGATGGGCTCTGGTCTCTGGTCCTGGTCTAGTTCTGGTCCTGGTCTGGTCCTGGTCTGGTCTGGTCTGGTCTGGTCTGGTCTGTGTCTGGTGCAGGACTCTGTGTCCTCAGATGGTCCTGGTCTTGGTCTGGTCCCGGTCTTGGTCTGTGTTTGGTGCAGGACTCTGTGTCCTCAGATGGTCCTGGTCTTGGTCTGGTCCCGGTCTTGGTCTGTGTTTGCTGCAGGACTCTGTGTCCTCAGATGGTCCTGATATGGTCCTGGTCCTCGTCCTGGTGTTGGTCCCGCTCTAGTCCCAGTCCTGGTCTGCGTCTGTGTTTGCTGCAGGTCTCTGGTCCTGGTCTCGGTCTGGTCTGGTCTTGGTCTTGGTCCCGGTCTTGGTCTGGTCCTGGTCCCGGTCTTGGTCCTGGTCCCAGTCTGGGTCCTGGTCCCGGTCTTGGTCCCGGTCTTGGTCCTGGTCCCGGTCTTGGTCTGGTCCCAGTCTGGGTCCTGGTCCTGGTCCCGGTCTGGGTCCTGGTCTGGGTCCTGGTCTTGGTCCTGGTCTGGGTCCTGGTCCTGGTCCCAGTCTGGTCTTGGTCCTGGTCTTGGTCTGGTCTTGGTCCTGGTCCTGGTCCCGGTCTTGGTCCCGGTCTGGTCCCGGTCTTGGTCCCGGTCTGGTCCCGGTCCGGTTCCCGGTCTTGGTCCCGGTCCTGGTCCCGGTCCTGGTCCCGGTCCTGGTCTTGGTCCCGGTCCCGGTCCTGGTCTGGGTCTATGTTTGCTGCAGGTCTCTGAACCTGGTCCTGGTCACAGTCTGGTCCTGGTCCTGGTCCCGGTCTTGGTCCCGGTCTTGGTCCTGGTCCCGGTCCCGGTCTTGGTCCCGGTCTTGGTCTGGTCCCGGTCTGGTCCCGGTCTGGGTCCTGGTCCCGGTCTTGGTTCCGGTCCCGGTCTTGGTCTGGTCCCAGTCTGGGTCCTGGTCCTGGTCTTGGTCCCGGTCCCGGTCCCAGTCTTGTTCTGGTCCCAGTCTGGGTCCTGGTCCTGGTCCTGGTCTTGGTCCTGGTCCCAGTCTTGGTCCCGGTCTTGGTCCCGGTCCCGGTCCCGGTCTTGGTCTGGTCCCAGTCTGGGTCCTGGTCCTGGTCCCGGTCTTGGTCTGGGTCCCGGTCTGGGTCCTGTTCTTGGTCCCGGTCTTGGTCTGGTCCCAGTCTGGGTCCTGGTCCTGGTCCCAGTCTGGGTCCTGGTCCCGGTCTTGGTCTGGGTCCCGGTCTGGGTCCTGGTCTTGGTCCTGCTCTTGGTCCTGGTCCCGGGACCGGTCTTGGTCTGGTCCCGGTCCCGATCCCGGTCTTGGTCCTGGTCTGGTCTTAGTCCCGGTCTTGGTCCCGGTCTGGTCTTGGTCCCGGTCCCGGTCCCGGTCTTGGTCTTGGTCCTGGTCTTGGTCCCGGTCTTGGTCTTGGTCCTGGTCCTGGTCCCGGTCCTGGTCCTGGGCCTGGTCTTGGTCCTGGTCTGTGTTTGCTGCAGGTCTCTGGTCCTGGTCTCGGTCTGGTCTGGTCTTGGTCTTGGTCCCGGTCTTGGTCCCGGTCTTGGTCTGGTCCTGGGCCCGGTCTTGGTCCTGGTCCTGGTCTGGGTCTGTGTTTGCTGCAGGTCTCTGGTCCTGGTCCTGGTCCCGGTCTTGGTCCCGGTCTTGGTCCCGGTCTTGGTCCTGGTCTGTGTTTGCTGCAGGACTCTGTGTCCTGGTCCTGGTCACAGTCTGGTCCCGGTCCTGGTCCCGGTCCCGGTCTTGGTCCTGGTCCCGGTCTGGTCCCGGTCTTGGTCCTGGTCCTGGTCCTGGTCTGTGTTTGCTGCAGGACTCTGTGTCCTCAGATGCCTCAGACGCTGCAGTGCACCATGGGAACTGAATCTGAATGAGTCTGAAAGAAACAGAACGACTCAGAGAACAAAGACCTGGATTAGACCGGGTTTAGTTCTAGTTTAGTCCTGGTTTAGACTTGGTTTAGTCCTGGTTTAGACTTGGTTTAGACTTGGTTTAGTCCTGGTTTAGTCCTGGTTTAGTTCTGAGTTAGTCCTGGTTTAGTCCTGGTTTAGTCCTGGGTTAGACCTGGGTTAGTCCTGGTTTAGTCCTGGTTTAGTCCTGATTTAGTTCTAGTTTAGTCCCGGTTTAGTCCTGGTTCAGTCCTGGTTTAGTCCTGAGTTAGTCCTGGTTTAGTCCTGAGTTAGACTTGGTTTAGTCCTGGTTTAGACTTGGTTTAGACTTGGTTTAGTCCTGGTTTAGTCCTGGTTTAGTTCTGAGTTTAGTCCTGGGTTTAGTCCTGGTTTAGTCCTGGTTTAGTCCTGAGTTAGTCCTGGTTTAGTCCTGGTTTAGTCCTGGTTTAGTCCTGGGTTAGTCCTGGTTTAGTCCTGGTTTAGTCCTGATTTAGTTCTAGTTTAGTCCCGGTTTAGTCCTGGTTAGTCCTGGTTTTTTAGTCCTGGTTTAGTCCTGGTTTAGTCCTGGTTTAGTCCTGGTTTAGTCCTGGTTAGTCCTGGTTTAGTCCTGGTTTAGTCCTGGTTTAGTCCTGGTTTAGTCCTGGTTCAGTCCTGGTTTAGTCCTGAGTTAGTCCTGGTTTAGTCCTGAGTTAGACTTGGGTTAGTCCTGGTTTAGATCTAAATATTGTGTTTAAACACATGTAGTAACTTGGCTGTGAACCAGCACTTGACCCGGTCTAAACCCGGTCTAAACCCGGTCTAAACCCGGTCTAAACCCGGTCTAAACCCGGTCTAATCCCGGTCTAAACCCGGTCTAAACCCGGTCTTGTGTTGCAGTGTTTACGGTTGTCCTTTGGCCAAAAAGAGAAAGGCTCTGGAGAAGGTTCCGCTGGAGCCCGCCGCCAAACGGAGCCGTTACATCACTTCCTGTCCCGACGACGACGACGACGAACAAGATGGCGGCTTCGACCACGACAGGTTAAAGGTCACGAGGAGGCGGGACGAGTCGTCTGACCCGGAAGAGGAACAGGAAATAGACGAACAGGAAGTGAAAGACGAAGAGGAGCGATACGACGAGGAGGATGAAGAGGAGGAGGCACGGAGAGCGCTGACAGGTGAGATGACAGGTGCAGACAGGTGAGATGACAGGTGCTGACAGGTGAGAACACAGACAGGTGCAGACAGGTGAGAACACAGACAGGTGCAGACAGGTGAGACACTGACAGGTGCAGACAGGTGAGAACACTGACAGGTGCAGACAGGTGAGAGCGCTGACAGGTGAGATGACAGGTGCAGGCAGGTGAGAGCGCTGACAGGTGAGAACACAGACAGGTGCTGACAGGTGAGAGACAGACAGGTGAGACTGACAGGTGACTGACTGACAGGTGACAGAGACAGGTGAGATGACAGGTGCAGACAGGTGAGAGCACTGACAGGTGCAGACAGGTGAGAGCAGACAGGTGCTGACAGGTTGAGAGACAGGTGCAGACAGGTGACTGACAGGTGAGAACACAGACAGGTGAGACAGACAGCGCTGACAGGTGACAGACAGGTGAGAGCGCTGACAGGTGTGCTGACAGGTGAGAACACTGACAGGTACAGACAGGTGAGAGCACTGACAGGTGAGAGTCCTGGACTCAGTCCTGGTCTAGTCCCAGTCCAAGTCCTGGTCTCAGTCCTGGTCTGGTTCTGGTCTGGTCCCGGACCAGGTTCAGTCCTGGTTTAGTCCTGGTTTAGTCCTGGTTTAGTCCAGGTTTAGTCCTGGTTTAGTCCTGGTTTAGTCCAGGTTTAGTCCAGGTTTAGTCCTGGTTTAGTCCTGGTTTAGTCCTGGTTTAGTCCAGGTTTAGTCCTGGTTTAGTCCAGGTTTAGTCCAGGTTTAGTCCTGGTTTAGTCCTGGTTTAGTCCAGGTTTAGTCCTGGTTTAGTCCTGGTTAGTCCTGGTTTAGTCCTGGTTTAGTCCTGTTTAGTCCTGGTTTAGTCCTGGTTTAGTCCTGTTTAGTCCTGGTTTAGTCCTGGTTTAGTCCTGGTTTAGTCCTGGTTTAGTCCTGGTTTAGTCCTGGTTTAGTCCTGGTTTAGTCCATTATCTGTTTTTTCCATTTTTCATTTAAACACAAAATCAGAAACTGAAAAAAAGAATCTTTATCTGTTTTTTTCATTTTGGTTTTGGAGACAAATAATGAAAAAAATTGAAAAAAATTGGTGAAATCAATTTTTTTTTTTTAGTTTCCTTATTTTTGGTTTGAAAAACAAATGAACGAATGACACACGGATTCTCCTGTCGCCATGGAGACATCATCGCTCTGCCTGGAATAACCCAGACTGTGGCTTTATTCTGACTCTGATTTCTTTGTTGTTTGTGTGTTTTCAGTCGAGAGCCTCTACAGACCAAGTCCACCGTCCAAACCCGTCCAGCTTCTGAAGGACGACCACACCAGCCCCGGCCTCCACCCGGGACTGAACCCAGCTCTGAACCCGGGGCTAAGTCCCGGTTTAAGTCCAGGTCCGAGTCCGGGTCTGAGTCCGGGTCTTAGTCCGGGCGTGAACCCGGCTCAGGGGACCAGGACCCGGGAGGACTACGAGGACTACGACCAGCTGGTGGCCAAGTCCCTGCTGAACCTGGGCAAGATGGCCGACTCGGTGTCCGAATCGTCCCACAGCGAAGACGAGGAGGAGGAGGAGAGGAGAGGAGGAGAGAGCGACGAGGAAGAGGAGGAGGAGGAGGAGAGGAGGCAGGGGCTGAGCGTCGACCTCAACAGCGACGTGGTCCGAGAAACTGTGAGAGAAATCATCTGCAACGTCTGAAGCTCTTCTCTGAGAGTCTGTTCCTCTGACCTTCTCCTTTGCTCCTCTGACCTTCTGCTTTCCTCTTTTCTGTTCCTCCTGTGCTCCTCTGCTCCTGTTCTGTTCCTCCTCTCTTCTTTTTCTCTTCTTCTCCTCCTCTGACCTGCGTGTTGTTTATTCTGTTTCTCCTCTGACCTTCTCCTCTCCTCTGTTCCTCTCTCATCTTTCTGTTTCTCCTCTGACCTGCGTGTAGTTTCTTCTGTTCTTCTGACCCGTGTATGGTTCTCCTGCCTCTGTTCCTTCTCCTTTGCTCTTGACCTGCCTGTGCTTTCTTCTGTTTCTCTTCTGTTTCTCCTCTGACCTGCGTGTGGTTTCTTCTGTTCTTCTGACCTGTGTGTGTGGTTCTTTAGGTGGACTCGCTGAAGCTCCTCGCTCAGGGTCACGGGACGGTGATGGCGGACGACGGTTACCCAGAGTGCAGCGTGGTGGAGGAGGGGCGGGGCTTCCTGGGTCCTAAAGTGAACGAGTCTCCACTGCACCTGCACGGACAGAACCACATCCACAGGTCAGAACCTCACAGAACCTCACAGAACCACACAGAACCTCACAGAACCACACAGAACCTCACAGAACTACAGAACCTCACGAACCACACAGAACCACAGAGAACCTCACAGAACCACATCCACAGGTCAGAACCTCACAGAACCTCACAGAACCACACAGAACCACACAGAACCACACAGAACCTCAGAGAACCACACAGAACCACAGAGAACCTCACAGAACCACATCCACAGGTCAGAACCTCACAGAACCACACAGAACCTCGCAAAACCACACAGAACCACACAGAACCACATAGAACCACACAGAACCTTACAGAACCTCATAGAACCACACAGAACCTCACAGAACCTCACAGAACCACACAGAACCTCACAGAACTATACAGAACCTCACAGAACCACACAGAACCACACAGAACCTCACAGAACCACACAGAACCTCACAGAACTATACAGAACCTCACAGAACCTCACAGAACCACACAGAACCACACAGAACCTCACAGAACCTCACAGAACCACACAGAACACACAGAACCTCACAGAACTATACAGAACCTCACAGAACCTCACAGAACCTCACAGAACCACACAGAACCAGCCCAGGCTTAGAGCTCATGTTCATCTGTGTTCATCTGAGGAGCCTGAGCGAGGTCACTTCATTGTTATATTCTATATTATTTTATTCTCTCGTTTAAACTCTAAACTTTTCCCATAGTTCATGTTTTCGTTGTTGATTGTCTCTGTTCTGTGTTAAATCTCTAAAGTGTCAGTGTGGATGTTTCCTGGATGTTTTGCAGTGTGACGAGTCGTATCTGTGGAGCTGCGTTCATGAAGCTCGTCTCCGTTTCACTTTTGCTCTTGTAAAGTTTCTGTCTGATGTGGTAAAGTGTTTTAGATTTAAACTTTCCGCGTCCATCACGAGTCGTTCCTCGAGCTCCTGATGCGACGCTCGGTCTTTACGTCGCTGTGGAGATTTTACACAACGGATTTTGAAAGAGCAGGAGGTTTATTTTGACACCGGCCTGTTTATTTCCCGTTTCCCCTGATAAAAGTTTGGAGACGCTCTGACGCTGAAAAATTAAAACTCCAGTCTGATTTGAGTGTCGAGCCGAGTCATGACGACCTGTGGACGCTCGTACGACTCTGATGGTGTAAATTGTCCAAACAGTTAAAAAGGAAAACCAAACCTGCCCACATCTGCTGTTCCTTAAATCCTGAAGATTTGTTTTGTTTCACTTTGAGCTGCAGAATAAAAATAACTTTATGAATGAATGAACAAAATTCCATTTCTTTCCCATGAGGTCTTCTTCTGTGAGGAACACCTGCTGAAAATGAAATAAAAAAAAAACCAAAACATTCTTTAGCGTCTCTGGGTTAAATCTGTCAGGAGCAGTGGGACCATCTCCAGATCCTGAGCTGGTCTTGGTCCGGACCTGAGCTGAGGGTCTGAGCTGTTGGA